AAAGGGAACAATAATACGGCATCAAATTTCAAACTGTTAATACTTCTGCCTACATATTTTTGCTTGAAATCTCAACAGATACAGATAGATAAATTCCCATACTATTGGCTCCTCGTTCCTATCTCCCACCCTTTTTTCACAAAACAATCTCACAACGGAAGGAGTACACGGGAAAAAAAGGAAAACCTTTTAAAAAGGGGGGGGGGAAGAGTTCTGATAGATAACAGTCTTCCCAGCATTGTAATTTGCACCAGAAAGCTCAAGGGAAAAACAAAAACAAAACAAAACAAAAGCAAAAACACCGGACATCTCAACAGGCATAGTACTAATTCGGTTATCCAGCTTATGTACATGCACTTCAACGGCCTCTGCTCGGGAGCACGGCCAAAACCAACACATCACACCGTCCGATCCGATGATCCGACAGGCGCGGGAAAGTGGCTGCGTCCACACTTCAGAGAGTTGAAGCCATGTTTTCATCACATGTGACGCCAATCGTGGGCCATGACGTTCCCCAGACGTTATCACTGGGCTAGCGCCGGGAGTGCCAAAAAACACCGCTACAGATGGACGTGCGGTGTACAGGCGGAGAGTGATACCTCCGGTGTGGCGGGACGATAATCACCCCCACACTAAAATGTCCTAGTCGCTCATCCCTTTGGCCTGGACGTTCGTTTTCTGTCATCGTGTATGGCTCTTTATCTCATAACTTGTTAACAGACAACCATAGCAAACAAGATCTTAAAATATGCTGAAAGCTTTTCAAAATGTTTGCTTTTCAAAATTTGAGATGAAGGAACAGACAATTCTGTATGTAAAAGAAGAAAATAAAAAGCAGGGAAAAGAAATGTCTTTTTTTTATTCAAGAAATGAAACTCGATTTTTTTTCAGAAAGGGTTTTTGAAACATTTGCTATATATTTGAAAAGCCTCCAGGATATCACTGCTTCATATGTTTCGCATTGCCAACATGCATGTGCAAAACGCATGTGTCGTGTTTGAACTAATTGAAGTTCACGATATCGAGGGATTTCTGGGGGAGGGGGACGGAGGGGGGCAGGTTTTTGTTAGTAGCAAAATGAGGACTACAAAGCAAGTTCACAGGGTACAAATCTATGTCACGTCAAAAAGGCAGAGTGACCGATATCTTTCGTTACATGTGCCTTGAGCAGGTATTTCCTGTCAAGTCAAGAGGGGAGAAATTTCGAAAACCATTTAAACCTCTTTTAAAGTAAGATAGGCTTTGAACAGGATTTGGTTACCTTTTATCTTTTTATGTCGAAATGCTCCAGAAATTACAGTTGCTAAATGTAAAATCATGAACTATACTTCATTCGTTTCGCTGTGTTACTCTTCCCAAATACGTCGTTGTCTCCAGTTCAAAACGAAAAAACCTCTATCTATTGTACTGTTTCATCCTCTGTTGTCATTTAACATCGATGGGAGATGCAGTTTTCTATAGTAAGCCAGCTCTTCAGCTCTTTCAATAGGGATGTTATAATTTCTCAGGAGTCTATTCATTGACTCTCTCAATCCATCTTTTTCGTGGCCTACCTCTTACTTTATAGCCTGAGTACTTGGTCTTATAGGCTCTCGAGGCTTGCTAGCAAAGTGACATTCATAACAGGTGGCCGAACTATTTTATTCTCTGTTTTTCAATGAAATGCAGGCAGGACTCTGTTCTAATAGTTGCTCTTACTTGTTCATTTCTTTGCCTGTCTTTTCTTGTGGTGTTAAGAGTTTTGCGGAAACATTTAATCTCGCATGCAGTTATTTTGCTTTTAAGGGTTTTACTCAATGTCCAGTTCTGGCACTGGGCGCATTATGTTGGTATATCTATTGAAGTGATAAGCTGTCTCTTTGTGCCCATGCAGATGTTTGGATGAGCTAGACACGGTACAAAGCTGATAGGTAACTGGCTTTTTTTTTGTTCACGTTTCTATTTCTCTGTCAATTGACCTGTTTACAGAGAAAATGGTGCCAAGATATTTAAACTCCTACGATGAACATGATATCAAAATTATGATAGTTAGCCATAGAAATCTACATCGATATTTCTTATACACACCGTTCATTGTGAGAAGGTCATACTATTTATCCTACTGTATTTCTAAACATGATTGTAATGGAACGGAAATGCCTCTGTGAACCATCCTGCCTTTATTTCATCCTAACACAGAACTCCGGCTAGATCTACATATTAATCATTAAGACCTACTTTCAATTGCTTCAACTGAACGTGCCTTTCAAAAGTGCACAGGCGTCACTGATGTAGTGGTTAGGTTTTTCGCCGTCGCACGCAGAAGACGGGGTTCGATTCTCGTGAGGGGAGGGGTTTTTCATCGTGTACCTCTGTCTGTCTGCTGGGACGTTGTGTCTCTCTCAGTTCTCATTGACCCAGACAGGCAGGGCCGAAGCAGCCCGCCTCCTAAAAGATCTAAAGTTATTTCAATGGCGGCGTAAACCGTCTTCAGTTACATTTGTTTTTGCGTCGTGCGCTCATCCTGTCTCACTTTCCACAAGTTAGCGGGAAATCCCTATTGCCCTTCCTGTCATCTCCATTTAAGCTTTGCAAGGCTATTTCGTGACGTAATCCCGATATTTGCTACTTCAAACAAGACAAGGAAGTGGCAACAAGAGTTCCGGAAATGTAAACTTAAGAGGAAATAGAAGAACATAAAAGAAACGCAAAGCTGAAGTATTCTGTTTCCCCAGATTTCAGAAGCCACCTCCGTATAAACAAGGTAAGCGGAAGAGACAGCGGGCGCGGAAAGGTTCTTTCGTCGGCCTGGAAAGACGAGGGAAAGCGGCGCTCACTCATATTAACACTAAATGCGATACGGTAGCGATAGAGCGCATTCAGACTCTCATTTACTATGAAGGCTACATTTTTCCCGGTGATAGAAAGAAAAACATTTTGTGGAGATTAAAACTATAAGGCGAGATAGTCAACGCGAAAAAATATGATTTCGATCCTGTTTTTGTTTTTTCCTTTTGCAGCGTAGCGAAATCATTAATGTTCCGATTTCAAGTAGGAACTTAGAAGATGAATTATGATAAATAGATACATAACTAAAGACGCTCCTCTCATTTTTAGCTCCTCTTCTTCTTCTTCTTCCTCCCCCTCCTCCTCCTCCTCCTCCTCCTCCTCCTTTCTGTTTTTACGAGTATATCACATTACCTTTTAAAATATTTGTTAAATATGATTACTTGAAGAAGAGTGAGGCAGCTAGGAAATACACTTAAACTTACTATATAAAATCAAATAAAAGAGCTGACAGCAATAGAAATCTAGGAAACTTCAGATTTCTTTGGATATTTTTACTGTAGAAAATAAAAGGAGCAACCACAGCTCACAGAGGCCACTTACTCAAAATAACATTGAGTGTGTATCAAGCTTACGGTTATTATTATTTATATTGCTGCTCATTTATATTATGCATGTGATTGTAAGCCTTCGTGAGTGTGCATGTGTGTGCACGTGTATGCGTGTGTGTGTATGTGTGTGTATGTATGTGTGTGTGTGTGTGTGTGTGTGTGTGTGTGTGTGTGTGTGTGTGTGTGTGTGTGTGTACACGTGGTGAAACACCAAACCAATGTGCCAGGATCTGGACAATAAAGATATATTTAATCTATCTTACCTCGAAACGGAGCTCTCCCACCGGAGGTTTGGCGTAAGGGATGCCCAAGAACTTCTCCACCCTGTGTCCACCGTGCACTGCTTCGATCACACCTTTCACGTTACCATATTTGGTGTGTCTCTCCACCCCTCGCCGTGCGGAAGCCCCGCCCACGACTGTCATGAGTAGAATACCCCACAAATAGCACAATATGTGTAGAGAAAACATCTTGATTTTTTTCCCAACGTCAAAGAGACCGTCGAGTCTTCAAGATGAATGATTATAACCTGATCAGTTCAGAGAAAGCGTGTTGAATCACTGACTTTATACTTGTCTACGGATACACAGTTCTTCAAGTTGAGTTGTCACGTTTGGAAAGATATTTTTCCAAAATGTGAACAGTGAAAGAAATGAAGTTTTTGTTTGTCTTGTTTTTCTGAACAATCACATATCTCGGAAATTTGATCTGTTCCAGAAGTTTCATAACTGTGGAAAGTTGACACAAGGGCGCTTTCTATTCTCTTTCTTCTTTCCGGTCTTGTTGCGGTCTTTGAAGATAAACCTAAAAAAAAAGAGATACAGAAAGAAAATATTATTATTTCTCAAGTTCTAAAGAAAATTAGGAAAAAGTCAATGATTAAGGAAAGAAAAACTAGAAAACATAGATGATATGTAATATACGAATGTATACATACGTAATGTAGAAGCTAAATTGAGAAAAGATTCCTAAAATGTTTTATCGTGTCTTTTCTCTGCCAAGAATTTTTGGAGAATATGATGCAACTGAATACACAATTTATATTCTATATCCGTTAGTTTGAGAACGTATTATCCCCCTAAACCTGATATTTTCTGAACAATGCAGACACAAATTATCAGTGAAAAGCAATGTCATCCGCAATGTTGTCAGAACAACCAAGTCAACTCTTTTGTACTTGATGAGTCTTTCCTTCTTTATAAAGGTTGGTGCCCTTTAAGTTTAACCACACTTGAAATACATCAAATATTTGTTGTTTTTTTAAGGTTATTGCAAGTGCAATTTAGAGATGAAAAGACCCTTACATAGAATTAAGAACCAGCGGAGGGTTTTAAAGCATTTGTGACACAACGCGGTGGAATCAGTCGCTCGTTAAATTTTTGGGCATACGGATTTATTGATATTATAATCTAAGAGCGTGCTCGTTTGCCCTCCGATTGATGAGAAAATAGATCTACCCATTTACCTATCTGTCCTGAATAGAAGTCGAGTAACTTGTCATTGAAGGGGATCATGGGGCTCGCCTAGTGCGAGAGACGAAATATTAGCGAGAAAATGCCCGTAAAGTTTGGTGTCTTTAAAAGCTTGAGTGTCCTTGAGAACTACAAATGTATAAGTTTTGTACTTTTGATCAACCCATTTTTTCAAATAAAATCCACATAGAAATAAGAAGTTTTTGAATGGACATTTCAAAGGGACAACACCCACACCTTCCCTCTTTTCCAAAAATTAAATCTCTAAAAATCGCCCGACGGGCGGAAAAAATATGCAACTTTCTTATATTCCATTCTTTTGCCGAGCGTCTGATTTCACCACGATGCCACATGTTTTGTTTAGGATTATTTGTTGTGAGGGCACCATTTGTATAATAGGATTATAAAGTATTCCTCGGGCAATGAAGAAAAACTGCATTGACACAGTCCATATCACCCCTACAAAGCCATACCAAACGGCAGTGGTTTTTGTTCTTTTTTTGTTTTGTCTTGTTTTGTTTTGTTTTGTTTTGTTTTGTTTTGTGTTTTTTTTTGTTTGTTGTTGTTTTTTCTTCAGGCGCTCTCAACTCAGATAGATATAATTGGTTTAGGAACTCTCTTCAGTTTTACAAAATTTCACATGTATTTCACACGTACAACAGTCCTAAGCTGATGCAATCAAGGCGTACATTGCTACATACCTATACTGACGCAAACAATTACAGACTTACTTAAATGTCAGCTGATAATTGAGGATCCTTTTCTTCCCCTCCCCTAAGGCCCCCACCCCCTCTCTCTCTCTCTC